AATGGATGTAAGCATGCCAGCATTTGCTTCCTAGGACTGAGGCCTTCAGTTCCATTCTATGAGATCTAGCCTCTGAATCTGATGCTCCAGCCAGTTTTCTATCCACCTTACAGTCCATTCATTCAGCCCACACTTCCTTAGCTTGCCTGGGAGAATGTTGTGGGAGACCGTATCAAAAACCTTGCTAAAAACAAGGTGTAGCACATCCTCTGGTCTTCTTGCATCCACAGAGCCAGTCATAGAAGACAATCAGGTTGGTCAGTCATGACTTGCCCTTGTTGAATCTGTGATGACTGCTCCTAATCACCTTCTTCTCCTCCAAGTGCTTAAAAATGGATTCACTGAGGATCTGCTCTATGATTTTTCCAGGGACTGAAGGGAGGCTGACTGGTCTGTAGTTTGTCGATTCTCCTTTTGCCCTTTCTTAAACATGGGCACTATGTTTTCCCTTTTCCAGTCGTCCGGGACCTCTCCTGATAACCATGAGTTTTCAAGATGACAGGCAGTGGCTCTGCAGTCACATTGGCCAACTCTCTTAGCACCCTCAAGTGCATCCCTTTCAGCCCCATGGACTTGTATAGGTCCAGCTTTTCTAAATCGTCCCTAACCTGTTCTTTCTGCTGGCCGCTCACCTTCTCCCCAAACTGTGCTGCCCAGTGCACTGGTCTGGGAGCTGACCTTGCCTATGAAGACTGAGGTGAAAAAGGCATTGAGCACTTCGGCATTTTTTGCATCTTCTGTCACAAGGTTGCCTCCCCCATTCAGTAAGGGACCCACGCTTTCCCTGATCCTCCTCTTGCTATCGACATACTGTATTTGTAGAAGCCTTTCTTGTTACTCGTCACATCCCTTGCTACCTGCAACTCCAATTGCAATTTAGCCTTCCTGACTTTATCCCTGCATGCCCAAGCAATGATCATATACTCCTAAGGGTATAGAACCACGGGTCTACACGGTCTGTCCCAGGAAAAGGACCTGCATTTGTTCCCCGATGACATGACTGGGCAAGTGGTGGAGAAGGGATGAAGGTACAGAAATGATATAACATTTACTCACGGAGAAGCTGTTTGTGTGAGGCTGTGAGGTTTGCCTTCTCATGCCAGAAGGGATTTGTCAAAGGGAAACATTTGCTCCTAACTGAGAGAGAAGAAGAAAGAAAGAATTTTAAATAGGTTAATTTACTAATGAAAACAACTACTTCCAAAAGCCTTCTCCCCTCAGCCTTCACATACTGCTCCTCCTGCCTTCTCCCCTTGCTCTGAGGAGTTGTGAGTGGAGAAGCATTTGTCCCATTGCTCGGTCACCGGCTTCTCTCTGCTGGCTCAATGCTGCCGGTCAGCAGGGGCAGGATTAGACCGGACGGCAGAGTTTGGGGCAAATTTGAGAATCCCATGCGCAGGCTACTTCACAAAAGAGGCAATGCCTGTCTTTGCCCTGTCCAGACTGGGACTGGCCACTGCTTCTGACTGGGAAATCTTAGCTGGAACTAATGCCGGGGGCCGTTCCCAGGCGTGAGACGAAAAGGGGGACAGCACAGGGACTGCGCCTAGTGCAGCCTCTTCCCAGGGGCTGGGAGTCTCTGTGCCTTGGGCTGGTTGGAGGCTGAGCTCAAGGTTTTCCTCCCGATCTGTGTAACGTGAAGCCGGTCGGGTCGCGCCGGTGCCTGTCCCGCGCTCACAGCCGCTTTCTCCAGGGATGTAACTTGTG